GTCCTAGAGGAGGGGCGCACCATAGATATTCTTCTGGCCCGGGACCGCATGCTGGCTCAGGTGCAGGAGTTGAAGAATGTGAGAGGCCTTCTGCAGCCCCAGGAGGATGACAGAATCATGTTCACACCTCCTGACCAGGCTTTGTACATGGCCATAAAATCAATGGGGTTTGTTAGCAGTGGGGCTTTTGCTCCTCTGACCAAAGCCACTGGGGAAGGTCTCAAACGTGCACTACAGGGCAAAGTGGCCTCCTTCACAGTGATGGGATACGACCATGATGGTGAGCCACGCCTTTCAGGAGGCGATATGATCTCTTCAGTGGTGATGGGCCCTGATGGCAACCTGTTTGGAGCCGATGTTAGCGATCAGCAAAATGGGACCTACGTGGTCAGTTACAGGCCACAGCTGGAGGGAGAGCATCTTGTTTCAGTCATGATGTGCAACCAGCACATTGAGAACAGTCCATTCAAAGTCATGGTGAAATCTGGGCGCAGTTACATTGGCATTGGGCTACCAGGGCTTTCGTTTGGCAGTGAGGGAGATGGTGACGGCAAGCTGTGTCGTCCCTGGGGAGTCAGCATAGACAAAGAGGGCTACATCATTGTTGCTGATCGCAGCAATAACCGCATTCAGGTGTTTAAGCCTTGTGGCACCTTTCACCACAAATTTGGCACGTTAGGCTCTCGGCCTGGCCAGTTTGATCGACCTGCGGGTGTTGCCTGTGACATCTCACGTAGGATTGTTGTGGCTGACAAGGACAATCATCGCATCCAGATCTTCACGTTTGACGGGCAGTTCATTCTGAAATTTGGGGAGAAAGGAACCAAGAATGGGCAATTCAATTACCCATGGGATGTGGCAGTCAACTCTGAAGGCAAAATCCTAGTCTCTGATACGAGGAACCACCGAGTTCAACTCTTCGGGCCTGACGGTGTGTTTCTGAATAAGTATGGCTTTGAAGGGGCACTCTGGAAGCACTTTGATTCCCCAAGGGGTGTGACTTTCAATCATGAGGGCCACTTAGTAGTCACAGATTTCAACAACCATCGCCTTTTGGTCATCCATCCAGATTGCCAGTCAGCACGCTTCCTTGGGTCAGAAGGCACTGGTAATGGCCAGTTCCTGCGCCCACAGGGTGTGGCAGTGGATCAAGAGGGGCGCATCATTGTGGCTGATTCTAGGAACCACCGAGTGCAGATATTTGAGTCCAATGGTAGCTTTTTATGCAAATTTGGCACTCAGGGGAGTGGCTTTGGTCAGATGGACCGTCCTTCAGGTATAGCAGTCACCCCTGATGGCATGATTGTTGTGGTCGACTTTGGAAACAATCGGATTCTCGTCTTCTAATTTTGTTGTCTGAATTAGGAAGAAACTGTCTCAGGGAAATTCTTTTTTTCTTTTTTTTAAGATAACGAAAAAATACAACGTTGATTCAAACCTACCTCATCTTTATTTTTATTTTTTTTTACAGGTGAATGTACTTCTTTTTTCTGCAGGGAGTGATCCTGTGAAGTTATAAATTCTATCTACCTCATTATCTTTTTCCCCCTCCCCACTCCCTGCACACACAGTTCAGTAATTTTTTACCTCTTCCCCCCAGACGGGGCATCATGCACAAATGTGTTGCTGTGCACATTAGGTGGTCTGTGTGGTGAGTTCTGTAGACTAAGCCAAAAAGGCTCTATGTATCTTTTTAAATATAGAAGGGGTCAGAGGGGGGGAAGCAGTAGCATTAGCTATTTGTAGAGAATTTTGTGTTCTTGATCATACTGTGGCTTGGGCTGGGAGGGTGGTTTTTTTTAATTGCTGCTGCAGCAGAGAACTTTTTCTTGTTCTCCTTTATTATTTTTAATACCTCAATGTGTTTGATTTACTGTTCAACATAGTGTCTTGTTCCCAGAAGACTTTGATCTTTTTGTGGAAATGGGTGGGGTTCAGTAGCCAGAAGAAGCATGCTTGCATTTTTGGCATGTGTGTGTTTTAAGAGTAGTAATCCCACAGCACAACATGAAACTAAGAAAATGCACAGATTTCTGTTTTTTGGGGTTTTTTAAACAAAAAAAAAGTCACTTCTGGTGACTTAGCTTAGTTTATAAGATTTAATGAAAAAGCAAGACTCTTTAATGTATTCTCTATTCTTTAATTTTCTTTTAGTCTTTTTTGTTGACTCTTAGCTATATTTTGAAAAACAAGTTTCCATTCTTCCCTCCTCTTGTTTTAACCACTATGAATACCATTGGTGGTTACAAGGAGTATGGCAACAAGGAAGAGTGAACCCTTGATTTTGAAGTTTTGTTTCTTGTGAAATAGCTAGTCTTTCTTTTCCTTCCATTTAAGACTTTTTAGTTAGAATAACTGAGTTAATAGATGTGTTCTGGGACAAATTAGTATGTCTCGTTTTCCAAAAACAAGCACAACTTTGGAAATTCAGGGTGCATTTCAGAGATCCAACTAATCAGTGACAAGAATGGAACTTTTTTTGTTCTTTTCCCTTCACCCTTTCATATCTTCCTCTTCCTCCCCTTCCAAACAGTTGGATCAAAAGACTTGGAGGCAAGGACACCCTAATGGCCCCATGGATTTGTGGTACTAGTCCTGATTATTAAGTAATTAACACAAGGCACCATGGATCCACGTGCATCTTTTCCAGGGCAGCACCAAAGACTTCTGCTTAAAATGGGGACAGTGGCCAATCAAAACTTTTGAATTCTGATTAAATTCTGAATCTGATTTTAAGCTGCAAAGCTTGGCTCTAACTAGGGAAGAAGGGATTCTTGTTTTTTGGAGAAGCAGAGATTTCTGTGGAGAGGGCTGCTTTACCAAGCCACATGAATTATAATTCTTGTGAAGTTACAGTCTGCACTTAAGTATCTTCATGCCAGTGTTAACAGCTAAGTTGGGATGGGACTCCCAAGACATATATTGCCTTGCCTTCTGGGTAGGGCCCATGATTGCAAACCAAAAGAGCTAATGTAGTTAGCATGAAGAGCTTTCCCATCATGTGGGGATTGAAGACTTCATGCATCAGTGACTAATCTCCTTGCTTTGCTGTAAAAATTGCATTTTCTATTCCAGCAAGAGCTGTGCTGAAAGACTGAGCAAGGTCATTATCTAAAAAAGCTAAAGTGCCTTGCTACCCTTGAAGGAAAGTGTTCATCTCTCCAAGATCCCACTCACAAAAGCAACCTAGAATATTGAAGGGTTCTTTCCATGTTAATGGAGTATTTCAAGGTGTATCTTCTTTCACTGCGTTTTCCCACTATCGGACTTCCAAGAAAGTTATTTCCTGTTTTTAGAAATCCGTGTGACCTATACATTCACACTCCATGATATAGCTACTTTGGAAGTGAAGCCAAGAGACTTGGGATAGCAAAATTCCCCTTTTTAAAATAGGGAGGAGTTAACCCTAAATTACACAATATAGAACAACTACTCTATCTTCAACCAAAGTTTCATGAAGCAAATTCTTCAAAGCAACATACTGCAGCTGGCCTTAATTTTAAGGGAGAGTGTTGTTGAAAACCCTTTTTTTTTAATATCAAGGATAATCTTTTATACATTTGAATATGGCCATTCAGAGCATATGCATGATAAAGCAAGCCGTTCCTTTTTAACACTCACAATCTGGTTCTGTCTGACTCCTTGTGAAAGATGTTTGTGTGTTCTTCACTAGGAGAATTGTTTGTTTCTTGGGCTGTGGAATTAATTAGATTAAAAGATCTATATACCAAAGAACTGGTTAAAAGCTTTAATTTTTAGTTTGCAGTATCCTTGCATTTATCCCATTTTGTATCTTAAAAATGCTTGGCCTTTTTTTTGTCTTTTTTACCTTGACCCATATAGCTGTCAGTGCTGGATTATACCAGAAGAGCTATTGTGCTTATTGTTTATTGGCTTTGCCCTTTCAGATTTCCTTTCTTCAAGGCGTTATTTGAAACTGCTTTAGCTGCTTCTGGCATTCTTTGTGTCGAATTGTAGAAAAGTTGCTCTTGTCCTTCACCATCCCTGTAGTGTGGAAGGGCTGCTGGTTGGTGGAATTTCCATTGACCTTTGCTATTTTGCATTGTCGTTGCACAAGCTTGAAGAAGGCCGCAAATCTCTGAGGGAGGAATGTTGTGTTTTTTGTTTAAGTTTCTGTTACTTAGTTCAGTGGATCTGCGTACAGCACAAACAAAAACCATTTGGCCTCTAAGTGTTTCATTTCACATGTTGGGAAGCTTTGGTTTTTAAAACACTACTGTAGGGCTACCCAAATTAATTCCTAAACTGTTACTGTAGTAGATAGTGCTAAGCACACTTGATCTCATTTGAGAGTATTAGCTTTTCAGATGGAGTGTTTATAATGCAATAAAATAAAGTTAGCATGATGTTCTAGTGAAAGTAAAATGCCAACATTGAGTGCCCCATAGGGGTTTTTATTTGGTTATATAATTCATAGGATTTCAAATCTGGCTCAAAATTTTATTCTATGCATGTTCTCAGGCTATTATTAGATAATGCCCCGGTATCCTAATGCGTGTAGAGACTAAGTGTTGGACATACAGACTGTGTGTGTGTGAAAGGGTGAACAAAAGTTTGAAGCGGAGTTGCAACTTTGCGCTTGTTCTTTACTGTTCAGTACAATCTTCTGAACTGGTGAGTGGATTTCAGCAGGGAAAGTGAGGCTGGTTTATCTCTTTCTCCAAGCTCTAGCTTTAGTGAAGAAGGACAGCTCTGGATCTACAGGTTTGTGCACTAGAAACTTGCAGAGGAATTTTTAATTGTGCTGGGTTAAACCAATGTTGGCTGTCAGGAAACATTCTGTTTCGTGAAAGATGATCAGCAAGTAAAACTCACTATTCTCCCAATTCAGCCATATGAAGCAGATCTGACTCTATTTCAGGGAAAGTTTCAACATCGTATTGGCTGAGGGCTTAGAAGCAGTCATGATACTGGGTGATGCAGGATCCTCAGGTAATTCACTCTTTTTTTTTTTTTTTTTAATTAGAACCCTTTAAAGTGTAACTTGCTGGGGATGCCCACAAACATATACTGTAAGGAGTAGAAAACCTGAAAGTTAGTGTATGTTAAGGGCAAAAATAGTCAAGTGGGAAACTGAACGAGGCACTTCAATGTACTCCAATGGAATTGCTGGAGAGGGGTTCAGTCTCTTTAGAGTTAAACCAAAATTTAATTTATTAGAGGAACAGTCTTTAGGCCTGATCCAGCCATATCTTTGTTTTAATTTCTTCTGAAGGTCATGAGATTTCTATGTTCAGTTCAGGTTTAAAGAAAAAAAATGTGCCAAAGGTTTTTTTTTGAGGGTTTTTGTTTGTTTGTTTGTTTGTTTGTTTTTTAAAGGAGCCTATCCAAATGGTGCCAAAAGGTAACATGGTATTTAAAGCAAAAAAAATAAAAAGAGGAAAAAAAGACGTTTAGACAAACAGTTTGGAGCTGTATAAAAAATAAACACTGGTACTTGCGGTAGACAAATATCATACCTCTGGTCCTTGAGACTGTTGGAGAGTGAAACCCACTTTGCTGTGGTACAGAATGCACAAATGCCACTCATTTTATTTTTTTCCTTAAAGTTCTACCTCACTTTGGAAAAATAATCTACCTCAATTTAGCATCAAACAGGTCTTGGAAGTAAATCTGCATGGGGGGGGAGGGGGTAAAGGGTACATCCAGCTGCTGAATAAGCATTTTTATTTAAATGGAATATTATTGACTGAGAACAATATGGCAACTTTTTTTTCATTTGTCTTTTGCTGCCTTCCCATGGAAATGCTAGGCTGCCCTTGCTAGAGAAACTGTAAATAAAACCAAATGTTCCCACACTCAGGCAAGTCTTATGAGCAAATATGAATAATTTCTTAAAGTATGAGTTTTCACTAGGAATTATGCAAACTTAAATCATGGTTTGTTTCAGTATTATAATACTACTGGTTGACATGACATTTTTATTTGCAGAATTCTTATGTCCTTAAGACCTTTAGGTCTTCTCTCTACAAGAGGAAAAATAATTGTACTTTTTGCATGCTTCCATTATATATCCTGTTAGAAGAGACTAAGGGTATAATTTCTCTAAACACAATGCTACACCAAATGCTTGAAGGGAATGAGACTTTTTTTGACTCGGTGATTGTATATATAGACTTCTTGACACAACAGGATGTTTTCCACCATGACCATGCAACCAAGTTCTTGTTTTTACAGGGCTTTTCAGACTGAATGTCCTTACAGCCAATGGCAGCTCAAGTGTTGGGCTTTTATTTGATCTTGAGCAGTGGTGCTTTTAAGTGTGCTTAGTGTTTTTACAAATGGAGTGAAGTTGGAAAAGCACATAATCAAATAACTGCGTTGAAAATTTTAATTTGTTTCTGTCATATGGGTGAGTGACAACAGTTGGAAAAGTGAGTATAGCAAGCCACTAATGATCAAGTGTCAGGTTGGGTTTGGTAAATGTTTTGGTGGAAAATGTACCTAGTGTCTATGATCTTACGGGTTAACAGGCCAGGCTGGCATTTTTCCATCGTTGTTTAACCAGTAATGGTTCTAAAAAAGCTTTGTGTACCTGCATGGTCTTAGACCTCCTCTTAATGATTGTATCAACTTACAAACTCAGGTAGATATTTTTTTAAGCTCTTTGCGCAGAGCCTTACTGACTGAATGTTAAGTGTCTTTGTAGTGAATGAAGTAGGTAGATATTTTTCTTTGAACTTCCAGACCAGTGAACTCCTTTATAGGTTTGTAGAATGCTTCAGTCTATGTAGCAGTTTCCTTCAGAGGAAGAAATTTTGTCATGTTTCTGGATTTGTTTTTTAGGTTCCCTCCTCCAAAGTGACTAAAATTGGTATTTTTTTTGTTTGTTTTTAACTAGTTTGTTAAACCAGATTGGTGGGGGAGGGTTTCTTTCTTTGTTCACATTGTGTATTATGCACTGCTTGATTACAGATGGATGCATTTTAAGTGTTAAGCGTATGTATACAACCTTAATGTGGCCCTCTAAAGGCACATATAAGCAAAAATTAGCAACAGTGCAAAAAAAAGACAACTCTTGCCAAATAAAACCAATGTAACAAACTTGAACAGTTTTTTTTTTTTTTTTTTTTTAAATGCCCCCTCTTAATTTACCAAAGAGAGAGCCCCATCTTCTAATTACTAGCACGGAAGCATGGTCATCTTGATGGCAGACTGCTCTGATTTTTAACTAGGTGCTCAGAGCCTTATGATTGATTAATAAAATAGGCCATGGCAGTAATTTGCACCCTCCAAAAAAAGTTTCACTTCACTATTAGGACAAAAAATTGGTGAGGTTTTTAACTTACAAATGTTACATACTGCAGAGGAGAAAGCATGACAGGTCATGTGCAAACTCTTATGTAGAACAAGCTAACAATGTTAGAAAACGCTTGTGTTTAACGGAGGCTTCTGAATGTATCTTTGTGGTCCATGGAGAAGGCTGAAGGATGTAGCAAGGAGATGATGTATCAGCTACTGGCAGCCTTAAAACAAAGTCAGTGTCTCTTTGGACTTTAAAATGTTCCTATGCAGTTTTATTTTATTTTTTGTTTAATCAAATAAATGTGAGGAGTTTTTTCATGGCAAGCTTGTGTGTGTGTGTGTGTCTCTCTTTGTTTTCTTCCTTTCTATTGCATCCCAGAAGAAAGGGACAAAAGACGACATGGCAAACCTGAAACCGTAGGAACACTGAAGGGATGGTGTGACAGCATCAGCAGCATGGACCCAGGCTGTACAGACTGCAGCACTGACAGCATCTAGACACCAGTTAATAGGAAAGCAGAGGGTGCAGTTAGTCACTGTCAGAAAGGTGTATTGAAATGTATATCAGCTGCTCCATTCCCTCCAAACCCCTCTGCATCTGCATGCACACATAGATGCTTAGGAATAAGGATGCTGCAATTCTTGCTGAAGTTCCCAACTTGCTGTCCTGACTTCATGATGTCCCTGGGCTTGGCTGCTTCCTGCAAAAGCAGCTAGCTGGGGTCTGATCCCCACTTGCACAAGTTCTAGCATAGACCTCTGATAAGTGGAAAGGGGGAGGGGAGGAGGCCCTAGAGGAGAAGGCCAGGCAGGAGGACCATGGGAAAGGGAACATCAGGAAGTGAAGCCTGGCTGTCCTGATTTTGGCATCAATACAAACACGGGCATCGCAGTATGTCTGGCTACATAAAGTCCTTGTTACTTGGAGCTGGTTTAGGTTTTTTTAAATTTATTTATTTATTTATTTATTTATTTGCCTCCAGCATGGTGGCAGCATTTTTCAGCTGTTAGTAAGGATGTTCCCTAACTTGACATTTTTCTTTCTTTTTTTCTTTTAGCAGCAGCTCTGTGTGGTCTAAACACTAATAGAAGCCAGTTTAGATGAATTCTCATTTAATTTGTTCTAAAGTGTGTAGAAAACAACTGCTTTGGAATATGAGGTTTAGTGAAGCTAAGGATTTAGACCAAACTAAAATGTATGCTAGGCCTGGAAAAGCAAGTACAAGGGAAATGCTACAATATTCACAGTAGTATATAATAAAGCAAAAAACTTAAAGGGCAAAATTCTACAGCTGGGAAGGACATGAGGGTCCTTGAAAAAGTAAAAGTTCCAAAAAACTTGGGTGTAGGGAGTTTTAAGAAGTGACTTCTTTTAAGATGCAAGTGAAAACAGATTAGGGACTATTTAGGAAAACTGGGGCTGAATGGGATGCACCTGAGGGAGTTGACTGATGCGATTAGAGCCACTGGCCATCATTTTTGAAAAGCCACGGTGATCAGGAAAGGTCCTGGATGATTAAAAAAAGGGCAAACAGTGCACATATTTAACAAAGGGAAAAAGGAGGATCCAGGGAACTGCAGACCAGTCAGCCTTACCTCAGTCCCTGGAACAATCAAGAAGCAGATTCTTCCTTAACAAATCCATTTCCAAGCACTTTGGAGAAGGTAATTGGGAACAGTCAGCACAGACTCACTAAGGGCAAGTCATGCCTGACCAACCTGATTTGCCTTCTATGATGAGGTGACTGGCTCTGTGGATGTGGTATAGCTTGTTTTGTAGCAAGGCTTTTGATACAGTCTCCTACAATGTTTTTACAGGCAAGCTAAGGAAGTGCAGGCTGGATGAACGCACTATAATGTGGATGGAAAACTGGCTGGAGCATTGGGCTCAGAGAGGAGTAATTAATGGCTCAAGGTCCAGTTGGCAGCTGGCTTCAAATGGAGTGCCCCAGGAATTGGTCCTGGGGCCAGTGGTATTCAATGTCTTCAGCAGTGACCTGGAAGATGGCACAGAGTGCACCCTCAACAAGCTTGCAGATGACACCAAGGGGAGTGGGGGGAGGATTAGTAGATATGCTGGAGGGTAGGGTAAGGATTTGGAAAGACCTAGACAAATGGGAGTCAAAAGAAATCGCATGAGATTCAACAAGGACAGAACAATCCCATGCACCCATACAGGCTGGGGGCTGACTGGCAGGGCAGCAGCTCTGTAGAAAAGGACCTGGTGGTTACAGTGGACAATAAGCTATGAGCCAACAGTGCCCTTGTTGCAAAGAAGGCTAACAGCATACTGGGCTGCATTGGTAGGCAAGTTGCCAGCAGGTCAAGGGAAATGATTCTTCTCTTCAGGACTGGTGAGGCCACATCTGGCCACTGTCCAGTTTGGGGCCCCTCACTATAGAAAGAATGAGGACAAATTGGAGAGAGACTAGCAAAGGGCAACACAAATGGTGAGGGGACTGAGGCATGTGACTTCTGAGGACAGGCTGAGGTAACTGGGACTATTTAGTCTAGAGAAGAGGAGATGGAGGGGAGATCTAATAGCAGCCTTCAACTACCTGAAGGGTGGTTCCAAAGAGGATGGAGCTAGACTGTTCTCAATGGTGGCAGATGACAGAAGAAGGAGCAATGGTCTCGGGTTGCAGCAGGGGAAGTTTAGGTTAGATGTTAGGAAGAATTTTCTTGCTAGGAAGGTAGTAAAACACTGGAACAGGTTACCCAGAGAGGTGGTGCAATCTTTATCCTTGGAGGTTTTTAAGACCCAGCTAGACCAAGGTTTGTCTGGGATGATCTAGTTGGGGACGGTCCTGCTTTGAGTATGTGGTTGGACTAGATGACCTCCTGAGGTCCCTTCCAACTCTAATTTTCTATGATTGTAAGTATAGAATGTACACATCAGTCTTGTCAACACATTTTTGCAGAGCTGTTTGTTAACAAGAGCCTACATCCAATTTTAAAAGTGATCAGATGTGTGAGCAAGTTTAATGATGGACCTAGTAGCTTATTAAGTATGAAGAGAGTAAGTTGTGTACCTTATTGTTCTGAGATTGGAGTGTCTTCTCAGTTTGCTTACCCTTTTCCCCCCCACTTAAGTAAACCTCCTTCCAAGTCCTACCCTTTCTCTTCCTCCACACAAGTCATTACTTCCTTCTTTAGTTTCTGTTTCCCCCATGTTTGTACAGTATCTAGTCCAGTGGAGTCCTATTGGTCATCCCTTACAATCATTCATAAGCACTTCAGTAGAAGCTATCAGCTTGTTGGTACCTAAGAAACGTGCCTAATACAATGTAATCTTTGTCCACAGTGGGAACTATTGCCACTAATCTAGCAACTCTGGCACAAGTAACAAAAGAAATAGTAGTACTTTGAAGTGTCAGTGGCCATTGGCACTTCACCAGTTACAGGGGCTAGCTGACACAGTAATTGGGAATGAGGATGTCCACCTGGACTTCAGTCTACATCAGTGCTCTTGGGTGTCATTTCCCCCCTGTGGAACTTGAAATGCCAGAAGCTGTCAGCACTCTAGGTAAGTGACTTGGTATCACTGCCTGTCCCCAGCATGCCAGCAAAAGCCAAAGAGAAGACCAGAGATGCCATCTTGATGCAGTCACAGCATATACACGTGGAAGGAATCAACATGTTTCATTTTCACTCATTTTTAATCCTAATGTCAAGTACTCTTAATTTTCTTGTTTGGGGTGGGGAGGAGGTGAGACTCCTCCTCACTCTTCAACCATCAAAGCTTAATGAAACCAGACTCTTCCATCTTACAAGGGTTTCTGCCTTCCTTGTTCTCAGGTTTTGATGGGGATAAAGTTCACACCTAATACTAATGTACTGAACTTCAAATGCCATCACCCTTTTCTTACAAGACCTTTAGTTACATTGAGGCAGCTAGCAATTTCCCTGTTGGCAGCCCTTGCCCTAGAAGCTAAAGATTGGAAGGAGGGTAAAGTTGTTGGAGGGGAGGGGCAGTGTTGGAAAGCAGAGCTACAGGGCTACCTCTTACCATGCAGACAAACATGTCGTCACTAAAGGAGAGATGTCAGGACACCCTTAGAAGCTTGTTTTGGGGGGAAATGTCTGAGCAGTCTGCTAAACCCTGGGTGAAACCTGTAACACTGATTCATTACTTTTATTTTAAATGTTTTTAGTACAATAATATGCAAGAGCCAGGAAAACACCAAAGCTTCCCTAGGGAATGCAAGCTTAGCCTCCCTTAGGGCAGAAGAGCATTCTTTGTTAATGGAGAGTTAAGGGATGAATAGTTCTGCTCACATGCAAATGCAGCTGTGATAAGATGTGTAGTATCTGGGGAACAACTGCATCCTTTTTCCAACTGGCTGAGTGTAATGTTGCATGCCTTCAAGCTGAGCTGAGAAATGCTGAAACAATGCATTAGCATTTTTTGCATGTGAATGCCCTACATTCCTATGTGGGGGATGGGAAGGGAGGGAAGACCCTTACTCTATTCAGGATACAAGACCACACAGAAAGCATTTTTAACCTTTTTGTATTTAATCAGTCAATCTACTGGGACCTGAAAGATGCATCTCAAACCTCTTCTCAGACAGAGGTCACTATATGGCACCTCCTTTAAGTCTGGATCAGATGACTCCAAAATGGCATAGAAGGCCAAGGGGAGCACACTTTCCATGTTGCAAAAATATTCACTCTGAAGCAAAGTTAAATCTCTGCAGTGCATCTAGACTGTATAGCAGGAAAACCTAGGTTGACCTGGTCAGCACTTCTCTACCCCCTTTCTCTCTAGGGCTTCTGAGGCCAATAAGCTCTCCTTTTTAAGAATTGCTACCATCATGACTTCTCCCTTTCCAAAGAACTGGCTGTGGCTTCTTTGCTGCTATACTAGCCAATCACCCAAGAAGCGATCTTTGTACCAAAACAAGAAAGAGCAGCAAGCTGGCAGCTTTCACTCATGTCTACAAGTTGCTTATTTTTGCTTTTTAATATGGACTTGAATTTAGTCCTGTATTACTGCTGGCTTGACAGGTGACCATGCTATTACACCTGGCTGGCTAGGATAAGCCAGGATGAGAGTCTTGCTCAGACCTAGCAGGGATAGCAAGTGCTTGTATAATGGTCCTACTGCAGCAACTATCCTGCCCCTCAGTGCATTGTGACTGCTCTTTTAACTAACTGCCCCTTTTTTCCTGTACTTCTGGCTCAAATGATGACTGCATGAAAATTGCTGGCAAAATAGCACGCAAGTATGTCCTAGAGGCAATGTACCATTGAACTGACGTAAGTTTGTCATGGGGCAAGGGTCTCTGTACCAAGATTAGTGACCAGCATCTAGTGAAGCACCCTGAGAGAGAGCTCTAGGACCAACCTGCTCTCCCACCAGCACCATTGCTTGGCTTAACCCTCAAGAACAGTAAATTCTGAAGCATGAGACTTAT